AGAACATGAAACTGAATAGGTGGTAGTTAGCTCTTAAAGAATGTGCAGGGCATTCTGTTCTGGTTCAGCCAAACTGCTAAAATAATTTACTATAACTCACCCCTGGTGCAAGCCGCACCAGAAAACAGTTACTCCCTTCCCTGGAAGTCCACATACCTCACTCACCCTTCCAAAACATCCTGCTTGTGATGACTTAAGTTTTAGCTTTCATATTTTTCAGTATCTGTACTGCCTTAGTGTGTGACTCTGAACTTCATATAAGTGTTAGCAAGTTCTCTTCACAGTTTAGTTCGACAAAACAATCCTTTTCCAGCCTGAGAACCAAGGATACAGTTGCAGCTTTAGGCTCAAGAAGTGTAAACAGCAGCGAATTGAGGAGAGCAATCTGCGAGGATGAGACTTCATAACCTGAAGCTGTAATTGGACAATTGACCCAAATATGTAAATGGACCAAAACTTATAAAAGTGTGAAAACTCGTGACTGGTTCTCCATCCTGGGTCAGTCTTGGGCAGAGCCAGCCCCAGCTGGGCTCTTGTGCTGCCCAAGGTGTGTTCTTTGAAGGCCTTTCAATAAACACCTACTTTATTCCTTTAACTCTGTCCAGCCTCTGTTCTAGGTCAGCCTCTCCAGGCATCACTTGAACTCAGCTTGGAAGTTCAGTTCTGCCGCCCTACTCTCAGATGCCAGTCATGTTCTGTATAAAGAGACTCAATGTTCAGCCTAAAACTTCTGCTAATTCCCTAAACTGGATGGTACATAAAGACAGGCACATTCCCATGTTCTCAGCCTCCACAGCGAGTGAGTCACCCTTGCTGGCCTGCACCAATCCTTACGTTGGTGCAGAGCCTGGAATAGTAGCCTGTAGTAGGATAAGCACACACAGAAGTGTGGTGATGGCAATAAAGTAAACACACACACACACACAAAACCAACCCTACTTCTTGTTGTAGAAAGTGGCTTAATTTGCTTCAAAGTAAAGATGTTGCACCTCAGGCAACTCATTAAACAAGTCTCTTGCGTCTGAATGAAAAAATGTAACATGCATGAAAATTACTATCTTAACTTGAGTGAAAGAAAGATCAGCCAGAGCTCATGTGGGACTCAGCTGGGAAAAATTATTTTACTTGCAGCTATTTTTATTTCTTGTAGCTGTGTTAGACAACCAGTCGAATTATACTGTACAGTTACAACAGAAAGACATGAGTGGCTGCTTAGAACTAGGTAAAGTCACCTAAAAAAAGACATTAACCCATTTTGAAAAGTGATTGCAAACCCATTTTGAAAAGAGATTTTAGGAAATGCTGTAATTTTTATCACTTGCTTTACTGTTATTACATGTTGTAAGTGTCTTGGGCTTTTTTTGGGAGTTTGGATCTAGTTTTTCAAGGTCAGTTGCTCTGCTTGCAAATGTTCATAAACTGGAGAAAATAAGTGATACTTCAGGACTTGGGTTATTAAAAAATGGTTCACTTTTGCAGTTCACTACTGAATATTTGACCACATGGCTTCTGGCTTCTGATGTCTCATCAGGCAAGCAAAAATGGTGAAGTGGTGAAAGTGGTAGTGACAAATGCATACCAACTCAAACAACCTTCTTGTTTGACTTCTTGGTTTCCAGAGGCTTTAAAGATATGTTCAGGAATACTGAGTCATTCAAATATCCAGGGTATTGTGAGAAATATCAGTTGAGCAATGGAACTTTAATTTAATTTCAGCTCTTTAATAAAAAATTTCTTTATGAATTTGTTTGGACTGGGGGAAAAACTCCCATTTTTTCTAATAGTCCTAGCCACTATGCTTTTTCTCTTGATCACCAGGCATGTACACAAAGCCACAAAATTCTGTTTTCTCCGTCTGTAATGCACTGAAGAAATATCTAGCACTCATGTCATTTAGCTTTAAAAGCTATTAATGCACTTGGTAAAGACAAACAGTGAAATATGAAATCTTGTCAAGCCTACTGGAAGCTGTAGTTAGTCTTTTTTAATAAATGTTTTTCAGAAACTCTGTTTCGTCTATGATAAATGCACTTTTTTGAGTATAGCACTGTGGATTTAGTATTGAGAAAAATCTGTTTACAGCTGCTGAATTCTGAACTTTTTATTTAACTGTACACTCAACGACCTCATAAACTTTCCAAGCCCATCAAAGTTCTTTGCCCTTGGACTGATCAGACCATCTGTAGATGTGAGAGGACACCGGCTTTTCCATGTCCATTCTGCTGAGCTTGGCAACAAGGGCTTGAATTAGTATCAAAATATGACAGTGGGAATTAAACATTTAGCATTGTGGGCTTGGATGTTGAATTCCCACATGCCACCTGAGTCCCTAGACTGTAAAGTGTCCTTTGACACAACAAGAAGGTGCTGGCTGTTCGTAAGTAAAGGAGTGACTCCACCAAAGCTCTGGAGACCACAGTCACCACCAATCCTGAGTGTCTGCATTTGGCAGAGGTGGGGGCATGTGCTCAAAACCCTGAAACAGACCTGAGCCTCAACTACCTAAACCCCAGACAATTTCTGCACCCATGGGGCTCCTTGAAATGGTTTCTCGCCCAGCATGCCCAAAGCAGTCCCTGGTTTCAGCTCCCTATCACTGTGAGGGCTGCACGCCAAAGGGACTCTCAGTATGGGGCAAACTCTTTGAAGCTAAGTGCTTAGGAAGTCTGTTGTCACACAGGGTGCCCCATAAAGTCCCACTGACTATAGTCCTTCTCTAAAATAGGTTTATTGAAGTAAGTGCAGAGATTTTTAAGCTACCTTTTTTCCCAGGTACATTCACCTATAATTTGAAGCCTGTATCTCATGCATATTGGTTGTAAGATCATTATCAAAGGTTCTTAACAGCTTTATAGAATATAGAAATTTGCTGTCATTGTGCTCTGAATTCTGAAAAAAATGGACCTCATTCCTGCTTTTTAAAAGGCAAACCCTGCAGTCCTTGGAAAACACTTGAAATTTAAATTACTATACTAGTATTATAATTGTTACTATTGCTATTACTTCTACTATATTGAATAGACTTCAGAAATTAAGAGGTAAGTCGAGATGAATGACCAGTCTCAATTTACTAACTTTCCAAACCTAACACAGAACCAAGGTCTTTTTAATTTCAACTACCCATAGGATTAGTTGCAGTTTGAACTGCACTATAGATCAGGCAACTCTTGTCTAATCAGGTCCCTTTGTATTTGTGTGGTAATATTGCCCCACAGCTAATGATGTCTCAGCAGACACTACAGCTCTCTTTCAACCAAAAGCAAACATTGTGAAGGCCATTTGAAAATCAAATCTTCCCCTCTGTGTAAGGGAGAGTCTGGAAAATACCACTAAGTACACAAAGAGTAAATGCAAGTAAAAAGTATGGCAAGGAATATTTTTCTTAGGTGTTAATTGAGAACAATATTGATATATAATAGAACCCTTATAATAATCTAATACATTAAAAGACATTAAAATTTTATGAGCTATTAAAGCTCTGACACTGATTTAGTGTAAGTATCTTTTGGCTGCCAGCCAGTATTGTTTAAAAGCTGCAAAATTATCCTGTTCTGGTGGGAAGATGGAAAAGTTTGAAAGCTTTATTTTATTCTCTTTTCTTTTTGATGGGTCTTGCCCCCTATAGCATTAATAAGGGTCTGCAAAACAAACTGTAGGGTTGCAAAACACAAATACATGGAGAAAACAGAGAAGATAATTTGAGAATAAAGCTGTTAGCTGCTCCTGACTGTGGCCCCAGAAGCCTTCTGGTAAATCTGACTTTAAAATTCAAACTTTCAGTTATATCAGGATGTATCAAAGGAAGTACATTTATTTGGCTCCTTGGATGTGCTGTATATTGAAATGTCTGGTACCTCACTAACAAATTCATATCTTGTCTTTTCAGAGAGATGCAGGAAAATAACAGGCCTCAAAGGAACTACCTTTCAGAACAAACATGTTCTCTCATTGTTTACTTAGAGAAGAAAACAAGAAAAATTAAGTAAAAGCAGATGGCATTTTATGTCAGAAAACCATCTCACAGAATCATGTCATCTAAAAACTCAATAACTCAGTTATGTCTGCTACAGAATTTATGTTTGCTATTAGGCCCATGAGATCCTGTACCTATTGCTGTGAAAGGTTTGAGGGAAATGAAGTCAGGATGTCACAAAAAAAGGAAGATATTTAATAATCTGTCATGGCAAATATTTCCCACCATTTCTTTTTGAATCCTTGCTTGACAGAGATCTAGAGATCCTCTTTGACACTCGAGTCAACTTCTGAAGGAAATAAAATACCATAAATAGAGAAGGATAGCAGTATTGATCTTTATGGTGATGAAAATTAGGATACCGAAATGCCAGATATAGTGAAATGCCAAAATTTTGATTGACTTTAAAAAACTTATTCTGGGGCTTAAAAACTTTTTTGTTCAATCACATAAAAAGGTCAACAGAATTTAGCTGCTCTTTAAAAAAAAAAGACAAAAAATGTCAATGGGTCTTTTATATCTCCCCAAAATTCAGCTTTAAGAATATGCACCTTTTTAAATAATTAGACAGCTATATCATACTTTTATATGTTTTTTGCATGCTGACAGTCACAATTGCATCTAAAGTTAATCTGTGTGTGCATGTCCATGATTTTTCTGTGTGTCTTCTCTACTTTTTCAGCCTGCAGAACTTGGTCCCTCTGAAGGTGGGACATGGGTGTGCCCTTGCTGCAAGAAACAGAGAGAGAGGAGCCAGATTTCCCCCTGCTGCACGAAGGAGGTCCCATGAAATCACCACCAGGCTTTCCCTGATCCAGAAGACAGCTGGATTTGCAAAGCTTCAGGGCAGATGAAAGGGGCAGATGGGCTGTGGTTGTTCAACTCCTCTGGCACTGCCCATAGTTGGAGTGGTCCCTGCTAGCAAATGGGGACTCCGGGTACCTTGCTACACAGTTCTGCTAGTTCTTGCAGAAATAGACTCAGTACTTCATGAAGAAGACAAATAGTCTATTGTGGTACTACTTACATTGCAGTCGTTGGGAAGACTATAAAGAAACAATCTCGGGAACTTCAGCTCAGGAAAGATCCAGAGAAATCTGAGGTTTTTTATCGAAAACCAGCATGTCTGAAGAGTGATGTGCTGGGGTGCAGTTTGTTCAGAAAATATGTATTTTTTCCACTGACATTAGAAAAAAAATCTGGAGGAAAAAACCCAGAATCTTAATACTCTTTTAATAATCTGAACTTTGGTATGACAATAGAACAACACATAGACGATGGTACAAAGCTTTTAACAATGTCACAAAACTACCAGCACAAAAACCCCCAAGCAACTCTATTAACAATAAGCAGTACTCACTGCAATAGTTCCAGCAACACATTTACTGAATTGCATGCTTGCTAATTTTGAAAAACATCTCCATATGAGACAAGAATAAAACATGACATAAAGTACACAGTTTATACCAAAAAGAGAGGACTATCTGCTTCTATGCTTTCCTGAAACTGTCTCAGCTAACTAAGCTCAGCAAGATGTTACAATGTTGGTTGCTGAGACTGGTTATGGCTTACATAATGATATAAACTTATTTCTCAATTTCCCACTCTGTTTATGGCGTCACAATAGCTAGTTACCTGCCCTCACAGAGTCACTGGAATAACAAAACCTCTGAGGCTCATCACCACTCTCTATCCTTCTTGGAAGTACCTGTAATGAGAGACTGCCACACATGGTTAGTAAGAAGCTGGTTGGGATCACAACACCCCAAAGTGATTAATCACCATTGTGTCTGCTTTCAGTCAAGAACCATTTATCATGGTTAGATATTTGTACTGGAAATTTTTGACATATACCTAATGTTAGAGAATTTAAAGTAAGTTTACAATAATTTCACCATGTTAGAGTCAAAAAGGGAGGAGGAATGGAGAGAACTTTCTCAGCTCATAGAAGTTATTAATTAGCTAGTCAAGGACTTTGTTCTAGCAAGAGACATTTGCATCTCCAAGGAGCTGAAGTAAAAATACTTATTTTAATTGAGAAGAATGATCAGATGGTTTCTTCAATAATGAAGCAAAAGTATAAATTTCAGGAGGATAAGATTTATCAGGGCTCCAGATAAATTTCTTATAAGAGAAAAAACTTTGTCCAAAGGGAGTGAAAATAAAAGTATATACCATGCGACTAGCCCACTTCTCAGGGTATGCTGAAGGCCTGCTCTGCTGGATATGCCCTGATCATGTTCCAAGTCTGTTTTGGGAGATGTATGAACCACTCTGGTCCCCTTGGAAGTCACAGGGATGTCCCCTTAGGCTCAGAGAGATTAGGCTGTTTTGGAGGACAGTACAGAAAAGGTCACTAAAAAGACAGCAGTACCACAGACCTTAGCATTTGCATGTCTAGCACGATGTAAAACCTCCAGATTTATGCCTCTACTGAGAAAAGATAGTTTGTGGTATAGAAAATACTGTTGGTGTGAGAAAAAGCCTACTTCCTGAGCAGCAGCCACCAGCCCCATTCTTCCTGTCTGCCAGCAGCAGGAGCAGCAAACCCCAGAGCTGCCTTGCTACCATGGCTCAGGCTCCATCTGACTTCCACAGTGGAAGAAACCAGGCTCCAGTCGCTCAGCCTTAGGATGTCAAAATTAACATCTGCCTACTCCACTAATGAGCCTTGAGCTGGTGATTGAAAATGTATTGGCATCCCTAGTTTCTCATTAAAAAGGCTGCTTTTTCAGATATTAAACCCTTTATGCAGCTCTTGTTTGAATTTTCTTCAGTTCTGCATCGTGCTTTCAAACTGCAGTCAATCTTCCAGCAGCAGCAGCAGTGCTAAATCTGCAGACAAGGTCGTTATTGTCCCCCTGTCCCTCTGCCCATACAAACAAGGAGACTTTGCCTTCATCTTAAAAGAGTATTAACCCCTTTTTGTTTGGACTCAGTCAGGGCAATCAGGCTTATTTTGATAATTTATTGATATATCAGTTTCTCAAATGCCACCTTAGTCTGTGTGTGGATGTGTCCTATTTAAAAAGTCTTTTGTATTACTTTTGTTCTGGTGAGGCTAATGCTGCCAATCCCTTCTACCAGAGAGATAAGAAGCAGCTTGCAGAGGGAAGAGCAAAGCAGTGCAAAGGCTCAGCAGCTTCAAAGTGGGGCTGGCTGGCTCCACAACATAGACATCAGTCACAGAGATTGTTGCAGAGTCCATGAGAATAACATCTCAGCCACTGCAGTGCTGCTTGCTAACTCAAGTATGGGCCAGAACTCCATCCCATCTAAATAAAAATGCAACCATTTATAGTGGGGGCAAGAACATAAACTGTGTCAGGAATCCTCTTTATTTGTAGTTATATCAATAGCTAAGAGATAACATACCAGGAGGCAGAGCTTGAGAATATGGTTCTTAGGGCTGAGATCAATAAAGCATGTGCACGGCAAATAGTGCTGTCTGTGGAGATCTTTGTATCAGCTTCAATGCTCCTCTGAGAGCTGAGAGATGCTCCAGAATGTCTTGGGAGTCAAAAGCAGCTAAAAGGTAACAAAGCAGGGGGGAGGACAGAGATGGTTAAAAGCAATTAGGAACTTCCCCGCTATTCAGAAACTTGACAAAAGTTTCTTGGAGCACAGCAAATCTCCCAGTAGGAACTGCTCTTTTCTAGCTGGGAATGGATTTCTGAAAAGTTGAATAGCTCTGTAAAGCTGGCTGCACAAGGTCAGAGGAATAAGAGATATCTCTAAGGAGGGCCCTGATGTTCTGTCTTATCTTTACTTGCTGTACTTTGTGCCCAGGCAGTGTCTTCCCAAAACACTGCATGACAACCCCAGAAAAGCAGCTCTGAAGATGATAGGAAGGATGTGCTTTTGGAGCTCTACTGACACATGCTGAATTCAGCATCTGCGGATAGCTTTTTTTAATCCCCTCCAGCTAATTATCTGTGAATTCTAAATTTAATCACCATCAAATATTTTCATATTTTGATTAGCTCTCCTTCAAAATAATTTAAATTAAAAGTGAACCTAAACATGTACCCCTGGGACCTGAGCAGGTGTCCTGCTAGAGAAATGGTTTAAGAATAACCTACCGTGGTGATTTAAGCTGACCCAGATGACTTTCTGCTGAAATAGGCACTGACATTGTCTGTTCTGGCATCTTGACTTTAGGGAAGTCAACTTTTCCTGAGGGCAGTACTTCCTACAGTGCTTCAAAAAGACCCCCAGGAGAGATGCCTCACTGAGTACTCTGACATAAGACATTGCTTTTTTACAATCACCCACAGCTTAAGTGAAAATCAGTTTAAAAAAAAAATCAAGTAAATAAAAAACTCTGAAAAGTCTTATGTCTATATCCTGAAACACAGGACCTGAGGACCAGAAGCATACATAGGATTGGACAACCAAGTAATTCAAAGTCTGTACTTGTGGAATATTTGGAGTGAAAAGCCTCAAAACCAGTGTTTTAATCCCTTGAAATCTGGTTTATAGCTCTACTGTCTTTCTTAGGGATGTTTTAAATATTACCATCTTATGCTATAAACTTTGTTACACTGCAAACACACATGCTCTTATTCCTTCAAATCAGAAACAGGATTTGGCCATTTATATCTCTATAGACATGATTCTATGCATGAAATTGGTTATTAAATGGGTAACATTGATTTAGGATGCCAGTTGTTCTTTGTGGTTGGGTCATGTATCATATGGAGCTGACATCCAGTTTCCAATTCACTTGGCTGCTCCTCCTTACGCACTTGCAGCATATTTGGATGTCAGACAGGGCCAGATTGTTTTTGGAAATAGTGGTGAAGAAGGTGTGTGAGTAACCCAGCTCTCATCCCCATTAGCAGTCAGACAAAGCAGCAGTCTAGGTTGCAGTCCTCCACAGGGACTGGGCAGGAAGAGGCACCATGTGATGCCCTTTTCATCTCCTGAGCCCCCATCACAGATGCTGTGGCTCAGATGATCATGTTGCAGATCTGTGCTGCCCACCCCAGCAGGCGCAGCTGGCAGGCAATGCAAATCCACCCCAAAGAGCAAGCACAACAATGTGTTCACCTCCTTGGCAGGCAGAGGCTGCAGGGGGAACACTACTACCTCTTTGCACAGGCTAGTGCTGATGAGACATGAAGCTGTGAATCTCTGTAGCTGGGGTGATAATTTCAAAGGGTTTCACAAAACAATATTTGTTTTGTGACAATACATTTAAACTCAGTAAACACAAACCAGAGAAATGGTTTTGTCTCCACTCAAAAAAAAAAAAGCCACCAAAAACCCATCACTGAGAATCACTGAGCTTGGACACCTCTCAGAGCAGAAAAGCATTTCATTCTTTCGTGACTTCAATTCAAAAAGAAGAAAAGGTATTGCAGCATTCCTGACACTATTGAACCTTCCCAACAAGCGATCAATAGGATTTCAGACAGCTTCCCTGCCAATCTGATGCCGCTGGGGAGGGAGGAAGGACCGCTGTTTCCACAGGCCTTTGACCCTACACTGGAGCTGAGGAGCACAAGGGCTGAGTCTGCTTTTCCCATTCCCAGAGGACTCTCTGCCCCCGCACAAGAAGGTCCCTTTCTGTGCTCTGCTCCTCTGTAATCCCTCTGCTCTCTGCAGGGGAGGGGTGAGCGCGCTATCCGAGAGCAAAGGGGAACAACAGCCTTTGCTGGCAGCCTCGTGGAGCAGAGAGGCCCTGCAGGTACTGCTGACCCATCTCTGTCAGTGTAGGAGAGTGGCAGTGATTGTAAAAAGTTCTGTCTGTGCAGAACAGGGCACAAGGCTGTCACTGCAGATACCCAAACCACAGCAGTATTGTGACACAGCTCTGCTGCTGTCTGAAGGCCCATGCTGTTGACACTATGGCCCTACATTCATCACCCATCATTGAGGCCACATCTAGAAGATGTCACTGATGAAATGATACAATGGAACTTGAGAGATTAAAGATTTATGTAAAAATGTTTATTTTGAAGCTACTCTGTGCAGATGACAGCGCATATGGATATAAGGTAGACACTTTCTTGAGGTATGAAACAGATTTTTGGTAGCCTCACTATCAGGTATATTAGAGCAGTATTTAAGATCTCTATTTAAGAGACACATATGCATAAGGCAAGAGACCTTTGCCAAACAATGTGCAACAGAGACAGGACAGAATAAAAATGTGCTGTTGTCTCCAATGCTTTTATCTCTTTCATTTTAGGGAAACTCACTCTTTACTCCAACACTTTCATCATTAGTGCACCATTATCTTTCAGTGCTGTCTACAATATCTAGATGAGATTGCTCTTCCATACAAATTAATTTGTGCCTTTTGTATTCCTTTCAAAACCCTTTTGAGACAACCTCTAATCATTTTCTTGATCAAATGGCAAACCTGGTGTTTAACCCACCCTATTACTGTCTTCTGCTTAGCAGCAGAATATTCTCACTTGATGTCTGTAACTTAATCTTCACACAGTTAACCTTCTCCCTCTGCAATTGCTCCTGTAGCAGAGTTCTGAAGGTGCTTATTCATCTTCTCCATGACCCAGCACTCAGCAGAAACTTTGCAGCCTTATTCCCTCTATGCTTTTTGCCCATAAATAAGCCATACTAGTAAATAAAAAATCATCTATCATTTTTAGGTCAGTGGCCAACAGATTTATTACCCATCCATTGACATGTCTCAACTTAAGCTAAACTAATAGTCTGCTGCACTGACATTTCCTCTTAGTGCTCTGACTTAAGACTTTAAGATTAAGTGCAAAATGTTCAAAGCCAAATCCTGTCTTTCTTTCCATTACCTTTAGCCTTACCACTGGAAAATACCACAAAGACTTATGATTGTGAATAATCTTAGATGTGACCTCCTTATCCAAGTCTACCTTTCAATTCTCACTGCATAACACTTCTTCACAGCAGAAGCTCACAACCACATCACTCTCTCTCTCATTACTTGCTTCCCACAATATTCATTTCCCTGCCTTTGACAAATACCATCTTGCCTTGCTTCTAGCCTGTCAGCAGCAAAGTCAGTTTTCTTAGCTCATTGTTTTGACTGTACCATTCTTCTCCTTGTATTCTGTAACAACAAACATAATCTGCTCACAGTGCTTTCAAGGCTCTGTGACTGATCTATCCTCTCCCATTTACTGCATTACCACATTTAAGGGCCACTTTCATGGAATCAGCCATCCCACAGATTCTTGTCCCTCCCCTCCACCTAAAAAGATCAATTTAAGTTATCCATTGGTAACTGCAGCCAGATTGTTGGCAGCCAAACTTCAAGGCCCAGCTTGCTTCCTGGGTCTTTTTGACAGGCTGAAGTATGGAGCCACCTTTTCCATCTGAAAGCGGAAGCCACAACAAGCCACTTGATTTGAGACTGGTCAAGCCAAAGCCTGTAATGAGGATGATTAATGGATGATAGGAATGCTTCAGTAGATCAGGCATAGTACAATTTGCTGACCTCAAAAAACTCCAACAAAATAACCCCAAACCCAAACTACACATATTCTTACAATTTTCCAGCTATGATCATTAGCACAAATTCATTTCAGTCATTAGAATTCCACTCCTCTCCACCAGCTACCAGTTTTCAGAATTTCCCATGGTTTAAACACATTACCTTTCCAGTGATATAAATCAAGCCTCACACTGACTCAGTGGGAACAGCAGATTCTCTAGGTGACAATCCCAAAACCAAATGGTGAATGCAAACATGAGACAAAAAGCAAAAATAATATTATTAGGTGGAAAGAATATATGAAGAGCAAGAGTTCAGATGAGACAGTTATTTATTAAAAGGTATGGTTTAGAACAAGTTTGAAGGAAAGATTTAATTTAAGGACTGCATAAAGATGGAATGGCTAAAGCTAAATGCAACCAAAGAGACAGCAGAAAAAAAAGTAAACTGTAGGTACTGACACTAAAAAAAAAAAAAAAACAACAAAATTGTGTGAGCCACCTGTTGCTTGCACCTACTCAGGGTTTGACTCACGGGCAGAGGTACATTCAGGCAAAAGTTACTCTTTCCTCTCTGTATCATGCTCTTCTAAAACATGAACTCTTCAGTACAGATTTTTTTCTTTCATAGATCTTCTATAGTAGTTTTTGAGTGAGATACAGTAGCTGGAAAAATCTGAGTTCTTTCAGTTGGTAGCACCAAAATAAGATGTTTTATTCACTAACAAATATTTCCTTTTTGGTTTATGTGTGTGTCTGCAGTCTGGCTGCAATATGTTGTTGTCCAAGTAATTATTTTCAGATGACATCCTAAATGATTTTAAACTGTCATTTATTCTTTCCTCTTTGCCAAAAGATAGAATATATCTTCTTTTTTTATTTCTTTTAACCCTCATAATCTGCCCAAATTGTTACTAGCACTGCTCTTCTGTCAATGAAAAAGTGAGGTCCTCTTGACTTCTTTCTGTGGCTCCAGGTTCATGAGTTCTGCTCTTTCCAAGAACACACAGTGTGCACCCAGGTTACACAGACATGTGGCCATGCAAGTGGTGCAGTTAGGGGGATCTAGGTATGATTCTGGCTCAACACTGTGACATCACTACTCCCTGGAAAACTGGGACACCAGATCAACATCTCAGATGATGGCCCTTTGAGCTTATACTATTTTGGCCCTTAAAATCTCCACTTGAAATTTGGTCTTCAGCTGGGATGATCTCTATGACAATGTACAGAAGAGGACTGGACATGTCAAAGGATTTTGCAGTCATAATAAATAAAATAAAGTGTAGAAGAGAAAGAATACATACAGAGACCAACATGATAATTTAGAGTATTCTCAGGGGTGAGAGAGAGAGAGTCTGTGTGTACAGTTAACCCCAAATGCACCACTGCCCCAAACTTACAGCTACTGTCAAGTCTGGTCTCAGTTAAAAGCCATTAAGGAGCTCACAAGTCATACCTACAACTAGCTTTTTACTGCTGGACATAGAATTTCACTTGACATCACTGGTCCCAAGAAAAATTTGTTTCCTCTCCTAAATCTTGTGACAAATTGCCAAAGAACCTCTAGAGGGATTTATCCTACTGCTCTTTAGATAAGAGAAACATAATGTACTGTGTAACTCAGCAATTTTTAAAGGTGCCCACTGCCACAGTTTTCAGATTTGTAATCAGCCAGAGTAAGGAATGCTTTGCTATATGTCAGAGAACTAGCCAGGTTTATTTCTTGGCATGATTATTGATTGAAACATAATTAAGAAACATGGGGTTTCAGTCATTAAATAAAGTCACAAAGGATAAAATTACAATGGCATCATTAAGATTACATTTAACAAGAATGGTCTCCCTAACTAAATTCAACAGCAGCTATGTAGTGCCCCACTTTCTCTTAGGTTCATTGAAAACTTGCCCACCCCTATGGAGTTAGGATGGGATGATTTTGTCATGATGGCTCTTGCATATGCCACAGACCTTCTTTCCACATCACATCCACTTGCACATGAAGAGCACAGGACAAAGGCTGAGAACCTTTCCAAATCATCTCAAAGCAGAATCCCTCATGTCTGGAAGAAAGTTTTCCTCCTTTTTACTTGTGAGTGATGCCACACAACACTGAGGAACAAGGAATTACTTTACTCTTTCCCCACCTTTTCTCCCAAAGTCTCCATGAAGATTTTCACTGTGTGTCTCAATTAACACATTCAGCCTGTATGTTTAACAGTAATTTTAAAACACATATGTAAGCCAATGAATGGAGTAAATATTTATAGATACTGTTCATTTTTAGCTCTATTAGTCTTATTCTAAATGAATAAAAGTAGATAACAATTTGAGTAACACAGATACAGCTTCATGCTTTGGGTTGCATGGATTTTCTTCTACCATATCAATTGTATTTGTATTGCTGGGTACAACATGATGGTTAAAAACATATATAGAAGAAAAGCAAGGATCAATGGATTAAAAGGCTTCCTTTTTTAGATTACTCTGTTCAATAGGAGTACTCTCAGCAGATTCATGATTCACAGCAGATTCATGGTTCAGCCTAGCAGAGAAGTCCCAGTGAATTTTCCTTACTTACTGTCTAGACCAAGCAAAAACTGCAGCAGCTCAACACCAAAAGGAAAGCAGCATTTCCAAAGCTAGAGAGGACAGATAAGAGCTTTGTCAGGAAGAAGAAGGGAGTCAGGACTCTTCTCTGGCTGAGTTGAGAATGAACCAGCTGCTGGAAATGATGAGCATTTGCCTAACTCAGAGTTAGACCTGACTTCAGAGTCCAGGTCTGTGTCTGGAATACAAGAAAAGAGTGGGACCTGATACTTTTGGAGTTTGCCAAAAGGCAAGTGGATGTCAGCCCAGATCAGGAGTAGTTACGAGTCTCCTGTCTGAAACATGCAAGGTAAAAAAGAGTGTTAAAACTAATCAAATGTACTGGTAAGTGTGGAGTTATTTACTGGCGCTCTGCACACATGCACTTATTATTTCATTCTGTTGCCTAATGTTGACACATACACATGAAAATACTTCTGTTATAGCTGATTTGACCTTTAGAGTTTAAAATGTAACTCTTAATGGCAACACATTTTATCCCTCCATCTTTGACATTCCTCAAAATCAGGCTCCTGGGATACTTTAGAGATGATTTGAGAGCCTCTGACAAAGAAAACAGAGCTAAGAAAGTTTTGTAGCATCCATAAAGGTAGAGGAGAGCATGCACAAACCCTGGGAGTTCTAAGATGCAAGAGGCACCCACACCTGAAGATCAGGGGCATTGGTATGGAGTTGCAAGCTAGGGGACTTCTGGACTGCTCTGCCTGGTATTGAAGCCAGACTGAACTTTCTATCACTTTCTGCATTAAAGATGGATATTTCTGCTAAGGTTTGGGTTCTGATCTCTCCTGTATTTTTCTGTTTCTCCGTCAGATTGCAGGTAAATCACTCAGCATCATTTTGCACTGTATCCTGAAACATAGAAAAAGGTAGCTCACAGAATAGAAACTTGCTTTGAGGTACTGAGAAAAGGGATGTGAGTTCTGAACTCTTAGATCTGGCCTACAACAGGCCAGAAAACAACATCATCTGATTGAAAATCTCTGCTGTCATCTTATATCACATTTTCTGGAACTGTGGGTGGGGTGGGAGGCTGCAACTCATCAGTTTTGTTTCTGAAACACTAAGGGCCAAATCATGTGAGTACTCTGATGAATTCATGCTCCTTTGGAAAACAGCTCTCCTAGGACTGACACAAACATGTTCTTTAAAGTAGAGGATGATAATAATGCTTATTTTACCAAAAGAAGATTGGTATCATTGGCTTCCTTAACAGAGGAGATCTAAGGCACAGAGTTACTCAGGGACACTTAGCAGGTCAAAACCAGCCCAGTGTTTCTGCTGTTTCCATGCCTTGAAGACAGTCCCTGTTGGGCAGCAAAGCACTATGGGGTGTGAGGGCCCCATGGCGTGGGGCAGGCCCATGAGATGGTGCTGTGGTGGCTGACGTGGCCTTGGGGCAAGGGAAGAGCACTGCAAAATACAGTTGCGGCAGCCTCTGGGGCCAGCAGGGAGTTGGGCCCCTTTTGGGAAGGCGAAGAGCAGCCACACACAGAGAACAGAACAAAAATTATTTTCCTGGGGTTGGAGGTCTCAGCGGTATGAGGAGAGATTGCCTCACACTGAATCTGAGCATTTCAAGGAAAAATGAAATTCATTTAATATCTTACATGCAGTGAGGATTGGAAAGTGAGCTGTTAGGCTGCTCATCGAGGTCAAGCAACATAAAAGTACTTATCTGTCTATTGTTTCTTTTGATCATAACATTTTGAAGTGTCCAGACACTCAAACACAAGGCTTGTTTGTACTAAACATCAGCTGTCCTTCAGAGAAGCCCTGTACCCTGCCTCTGCCAGCTGCTGACTAAATGAAGGGAAAAGCATTTTTCTCTACCTTCCTTATTCCTGGGCTGCTTGCCAAGTCCTTTTCCAAATCCTCGTGACTCTCTCGAGCAAAGGGAGCTGCCTGTGCCTCTTCCCCAAGAGCAGCAGGAGCCATCTCGGGCACCCTGCTGCCCCAGGATGTGCTGCTGTGGCAGCGCCCTCAGTCCCTGCCTGCCCCTGCCAGCATCCCACCAACCCTTCCCAGCCCAGAGTGGGGCTGCCTGGCCCTGTGCACCAGCTCCTGAACTCCTTCAGTCCCACAGAATCCTGCCAGCCCCTCGTGGCGTGTAACCTGAAGCCCAAGAGCAGCTGACTGGCAGCTACGGCTGCTTTCACCCCTGAACGCCCAGAGCTTTCTGGACAGAGAGCTGACTGATTTACAGATGTAATATCACTGTCCACTGGCAGCCAGGGGTCTAACATCCTTCCCAAATAGTGATGTTTGGTCACTAATGGAGCCCATGATCCCTCAGTCAAAGGGAGTGGTATATCCTCCACTGCCTCCAGCAGCCTTTTATTCAGTACATGAAAGTAAAATTGCAGTAATTTCGGATATTAAAGGAAATAAATACACGCCAACATGAACTCCACAGCAGTACTGAACAACTGTACTTCTTTACCAATACAGTGGGTCTGAAAATATGAAATTTTGAGCTAAATGAGACTTCTAGCCCTGAAAGCTTTCCTTGGGACTTAGGAAGCATTCCTGTTGATACATGCAGGTCCCTCAAATGAAGAACTGCTGACACATTCAGGGAATCTTTTAGAGAAGATATAATTTTTCTTGACAGTATCAGTACTTCTTTGAGTTACTCCTTTCCCAAAATTTTCAGTTTCATAAGTAATTTTTTAGAAATGCATAAGATATTTAGAAAGGGAAGGACACAAGTCTTTGATTTGAAAAAAGTAGCTTCAAAAACTTCAACCTTTCAAACAACTGAAAAGAACACTTAGGATTACTTTAAAAGCATTAAATCCTACCCCATCTCCACTTTTTTTTTCTTTTTTTTTCCCACAGAACTATCTGCAGCTATATAAACCCCAGTATTGCTCCTCTGCTTAGGAACAGCTGCTTCATTAAACACCAGGGCAAACACTGCATCACTCTTTCTACTGTCTTTTTAATATCAGGTCTGAATTCATATACACAGGAGTATTGTCTCCAGCCAATACAAGGATTTAACCCACATATATTACCCAGGCCAAAATCACATATGTAAAGGAAGCTGAAAGAATGTGAAGAACCTCCTTCTATTAAATGAACTAGTAACCATGCAGCTTGGAAAAAGCGTGGTGGAATCCCTTTAGGATCTTACCCTAAGACTGATTAAAGGAACTCAATTATATCTGCTGACAAACCACTCAGAATATTTTGTGAACTGTGACTGAAGTGTGACTGAAACTTGTCATTCAGGCAGAAATCAATTCACTGTTCCTACAGCAAAATGTAAAACTCCCAGTACTAGTAACTTTATTTAATTGAAATAAATAACTTCAATTTTAAAGACTAGCTGGGCAGGAGTATCCTACAGGGTGTTGACATACAACTTCTTTCTGTGGAAGCTAACTTACAGTAGTGCCAATTTATGAACTAGTCAGAAGGGCTGTGATTTAATTAAAAACAGAAGAGATAAAATCCTTCCTTCATAAATGAAAGGTAATGTCCTCTAATTGTGTCTAGCTGAGTAAGAATACAGAACAGCATGGGTGAGCCTTCTTTCCTTACAATACCCTGGAGTCTCCAGTTCTGGGAAATTGCACAACGACTAATTGTATTTTTTTTAATATTTCATTCTTGTGTATGTGTAGAGATCTGCTTAATAATCCAGACTAACAGAAACTGGGCTCTGGAATTTCCCAGCTCCAGAACCTCATAGTTGAATGCCCACCCTGCAAAACCTAAGGTGATGCTTTCTTTGAATGCAATCATTATTGTACCATACAGCATCCATTTTTTTGGCTGAAACTTTACATATAATAGAGGAGTAATGTCTGGAAAATTGTCAGAATAGTCAAGTGTCTTAATTCCTCTCTACCTAATGCAGAAGCAGGGCAGGATGGGCTGGGGAATCAGTATTCATCAGTACAACTCAAGAGAAGAAAATCATCAGAAATGCTTCCTTTCCTTGGGATGTTCAGATCCAGTGGAATCAGACCAAGCAGAATTGCATTTAGAGATGTTGTTTCCTGTAGTAATTGTTGTTCTCTGGATGTGCCTTCCCTTGCCGTGGTGTCGAGTTGTCCTTGCGTGGTACAAAGAGGAAGCCTCAAGCACCATCTCAGCTCTCTTGGCAGCTGGAATATGAGATTCCTTGAGTCCAAAAGAGGCTTCAGACACACTCTGAAGACACCCTCTGTTTTACTGATTGTTTTCTATTCTACTATATGATTTTTGAGGCAGGTTTGATCTCTTGTAGCATGCAGGACACAGGACACAGAATGTACAAGTTGAAGCAATGTTGTCTTCTGCCTCGTTTTCTATATGCAGTCATTTTTTTGCTCTTTTGACTGTTTTCACAGAGAAGTGTTCCCAGTGTGTCTAGAAAAACAGTCTTCATGATTTCATTGTGCATTGGTAAGAGGATTTTTTCACCCCATATAACATTATTTTGCCCTTCTCAGCATCACTTGCCTTTGTTCACTGATTTTCCAAGCCTCTCCAGTGAAAATGCTGAATATTCTATATCTCATATGCATCTGTGGGACTTGGCTGCTGTCCAAGAGGAGGACAGTGCTTCTCCCAAAGGTTCCTGTGAGGCCCCAGATAACACACTTGAGATCATCTCTTGCTCTTTTTTGAAGCAAGAAGTTATTAGTTTCTTGTTTCAGCTGCATGTAAATACACTGCTCAGAAGTACATTTAAGTATGTGAGTACATTACCCAAGCACCAGTACTTGACCAGTGCCTTACTGGCAATCCCATAAGAAACTAATAGTGGCTCCTTCTAAAATTTTAGCCAAAGCACAAGTATAAATAAATGAAAGAGACTGATTAACTTATCATGATGACTCCTTCAATCACCTTCTCCATTAGTGTGGATCAAAGTACAGAACCTTGTACAAAGATACTTCAGATCTAGCTGTCTGATACAAAGGATCTGAACCTGGGAAATGGAAAATCTGGTTTTTACTTGACACAAAAAGACCATTATTCTTCAAGGTTCCAAAACACAGAATAGCTCTGAAATACTCATTTTTGAGCTGCTGAAGATTGCTTCGTGTGCCATCTAAATAATCACACTTTGCTTTTGGTATCTATACATTCATTCAACATGAAGACTTCACAAGAGATTTTTTTAATGCTCTTGCTATATTTTGGTAGGTAGTTTCTGACATCGTAATTAGCTCAAATTAAATTAGACATTTAGTCTTCTGACATCTGGAACAGTGGCTGCCAGCTATTTTCCTTCTATTTTCTTCCTGAAAGAAAGAAAATATTAGGTTGCATGGTAAAAAGCTTATCTACAAGCTCACAAAGGAGCACAGGGACAATGGCAGGTGAGGCAAGCCAAGTAATATCCTCCCTCAGCTCCTCCCAGACCCATCGTGGAGGGCCAAAGGGCCATCAAACACCCATCTCCACAAGCCCAGAAGAGCACAGAGGCACAGGGGCAGGTGGTTCTAGAGGACACAAGTGCATGTGTCCAGGCATAAAACCCATAACAAGGAATCAACAGGAACACTTTTAGGACTGGAGACTATTCCCTATGTATATGGGATGCATTATGAGATGCAAGGGAAGAGCATTAGGGGATAACATGAGATTTAGGCTTCAATCTTTGGTGGAGAAACCAAAGATGAGAAATGATGGGGGGGGGGGGGGCTCTCAGAACCATTTGCAGAGGAATAGGTTTAGGAACAAATGACAGGATGAGTGATGAAAGGAGAAAAGGGGCCGGCCCTGTGCAAATGGATACCAAAGGCTGTTTGGTATCAATTGTCTGGACATACCCTGTGTCTCCCTCTTGTGTGCAGTAGTGTAGCAGGAGATCTAAAAGCCAGTAACTGCAGTGGGCTCATGTGTTGTGGTGTGTTGCAATATCCTGTTTTACCTTCTCCCTTCCCCCTCGCCCCTCGCTGAGTGTGCCCTGTCAATCAGGCTAACATACCAGCAAGGCGTCGTGTGATAGGTGTCCCTAGTCTCTTGAGACCCTGCCCCTTCACCTGGTTGGTGACTCACCTGTCCCCTCCCCTTCCCCTGTCCTGAGCTTAAAATGTTAATGAGACCATGCAGCCTCCATTCTGTTACCAGCAGTAGCCCAGTGCAGACGCCTCTGTACCAATGGAATAAACATCTGGCTACCTTCTAGCAGAATCGACTCCCTTTCTCTCCACCATCGCCAGAAGCTCTCTCCTGAGGAGAACGGAGTCCTGTCTTGTGCCCCGCTGCACTCTGCCGCCAGCCAAGGTATCTCTGCGATAAAACACCACAGTGCTGCCTCTGGCCAAGCAGCGAAGGTCAGAACTGGCCTAGGCACCATCTAACTGGTTATATTGGGATACATATTCCAATACTCATGGATGGGAGTTGTGTGCCTGGAGTGCAAAAACTGGCAAGGACAACATGAGTAAGAGTGTGATCACTTGCAAAGATTAAGTCAGAGTAGCCAGAGTGGGTGACGTGCCCTGGGAGCCAGGGGCATGCATGTGTGTGTGTGTGCTGCTGTGACATCCCTACTGGGTGCATGTGCACACGTGCATGAAGGTGTGCTCACGGGTGTATGGGCAATGACCTGTACCAGCAGCTGCAGTGGGGCTACAGCACTGGGGACTCATGTGACCAGGTAAAAAAAAAAGGACATTAGGATTTGGTATTTGAGCCCAGCTCCTGGAGGGATCCACCCTGTACCTATGCATATACATAATTATTACTGGATCCCTAGCCTGGTTAGCCAGAGAGGGGAGGACCACGAGGCCCTCGGGGCTGTTTGTGTTGGTGTGAGCACTGAGTGCCTCTGTCTGTGCTGATGATGTGTGTGGCTTGCAATGAGTATGTGTTTGTGTGTTTTGCACATATATCTGTGTCTGCCTGGGGAAACATGCTCAGCCTCACTACTGACTGGACCTGGGCCATGGAGCTGTGCAGCCTCACCTCCACTGGATTTGGCTGCCCTGACATTGCTCTCCCAGCAGCCCAGTCCAGGGCCACCGAGCTCCTGTGTCAGAGCTGCCCTGAGCCAGGGCCACACAGAGCCAGGGGGGAGAGAGCCCACAGGGCCTCCAGGCAATGCTCCTTCACCATCTCTCACCTATATGCCACTCCTTTCAATCTTTCTGGACCCAACTGAACACAGTTTTGGTACGTCCCTTGTGAGTCAGACAGACCCGTTCCAATATGAACTTAGCACTGATGCTTTCCTTCTGCTGCATAAACACCTGGCTGTTCTCTACATCTGCACTGGCTTCTGGTCCAGCTTCCATCTTATCTACATCTTCCAAATATAACTCAGATTCTACCAGGAACTGAGTTCGGGGAAAAACAGCCTTGCCCTGTAAAGAGCTACAAGGAACCTTGCTTGCTTTTGCATTAATTCTCTTAAGTGTACTTATCCCAATATTACTTTTGAAAACAGTACTTCTCATCTTTTCAGAGTCTGGATATTAGAGGACTGAATCCAAATGAGATTTATGCACTAAAAACAACATACAGGTAGGAAAGGGCATGAATTGAAATTTTAAATCTACAGGAAAAAAAGTGGATAAGCTTGGGAGGTGTATGCCTTAATGCAAAAGCAGATATGAATGTATCAAAAAATGTTAATTTGAACATATCTGGGAATATCAAGATTTTTAGAAATGGTGTTTTATATAAGTAATTTTATGAAAGTGGTACCTGGATGGAAGGAAAATTCTAATTTAATTTTCATTTTTCTGAATTCTGGAAATATATTTATTATTTTTGCCCCATACAGCCCTAAGCATGTTCCTGAAATCTCACATAACATCATTAATGCTTAAATTTTCCAGATATTGTTTTTTCCTTTTCTTCTTATTTTTGCCTTGATTCTGCATAAGGAAAGAAATACCAAAAAGGGGTTGTTTACATAATCACCCCCTGCTCATGTCTTTCCTATTTTTCTATGACCATTCAGCCTAAAAGATAGAACATATGATTACTCAGTGAAAGCCCTGCAGCCATGTACTCCATCTGTTTGTAGCCTTCTAAGTATTATTTGTATAAAGACAATAAAAAAGTCTTGTTCCTTTATAAGGATGACTGCAAGTAGTTTGATGTCTGAAAAGAATAACAAAGATTTTCTTTCTCCAGCTCTTGAAAATGACTCAGTATGAGATTTTGATCTCTATACTGTAAATTTGATATCCTGTGGATCTCCTCCTCATCTTATCTATTGAGCTGCTTGTTGTATTGCATCTTTCAAGACTAACATATGATTGATTAAGAAGCCCCATCTTCTGCTTGCTTTTCTATATGATTATTCTGTGCTTAAATGTTTCAAGCTCATTATCAGCCAGACTCACTGCTGTAGGAGAATTCACTTAAACTGCTTCTGTATTTTAGGTACTAACTGCTGGAATGTAAAAAAAATCTTAATATGAACCACTTATCATTGTGTACTGACACAGAGGGTTGTTTAGGATGTCTCTCAAATATGTTTCATTCCTCTAATGACAAAAAAGTTACCAACACACAAAATGGAGTTGGCATCTACTTCATTCCATAACTGTACAATACTACAAACACCTGTCATTTTCTTACACGTGTTTGGGCATGGTTCTTTCTGAAACAGCCCACTCACCTGTCTGCTGTGGTCATGAGATGTTGGAGCAATAACCTTGGTTTTTCCTTACACCCTAGCCAAGGTTTGAAGATTTCGGATGACTTCCTCAAAGTCTTTTTTTGCTCTAGCCTCTCTTTGGTGAAGAAACCTGTTCTTCAATCTCTGCTACATCTCAATTTAAATGGAATTTTACTATTTGCCTGCAGAATTGCTCTCAGCCACATTGGTCAACCTGATTTGCTGCTACAAACCACAAATGCTTCTTCTCCAATGTTACTACTACTTGTCGTTTTCACATTGCCTCCAGAAAGAATAGCTTTAGACTGATCTGGATTTTCATGTGAAAGTGCTTACTTCTGATAATATCTGGTCCTTTCTGACCAAGAGAACACAATGACAGTGTTTTCAAGTCAGAAAGCACTTGGAGTGCTCTCCTGATGGACTGCAGAGTGGCTTTTTGCAGGCAGGGGCAACGAAGGGTGGAAATCAGCTTCTCCAAATGGAGTTGTCCCTACTCCACACAGCCCTGCTGGAAGTTGAAGGCCAGGCCAGCTTCCTCAAATGCTTTAGCAGGGAATATGGTGTAAACATCTAGACATTTAGTTGAGATCCCTTTTATCACATGGAGACTTGGCACATTAGTCCAGGCATTTTCTTCACCCTGTTCATACAGAAAAGGTAGAATTTTGTTGGCTGCTGCATGGCCATACGAAGGTTAATTGCAAGAGATTTCCCCTCTTCATTTCTATATTCTGTGTTTTATTAATTGGAAAAGAGAAATGCCTCTTAAATAAAACTGAAGATTACTGGGAAAATAGTGCAGCTATGAGGCTGCAAACAGCTGCTCCCACAATGGCAACTGCTGTTGAACTGTCGTGTATCTCACAGCACCTGGAGCCAGCAACAGTCACACATATCCCTTACCATGAAACATAGGAAACACAAGGTTGACAAGTGTGTGTTCAACTTCAAACCTCTGCGCCCAGCAGAGATTTGTATCAAAAGCATCATTTGAGTGTCTGAACCCAAGGCAAGAAATAGATAAAAGAAAGGCATGCTGCTTCTGTAATGAAAGACTGGAACAGCATGGGTTTAAGCACCTTTGCAGTTTACCTGCAGAGTCATGAAGAGGTTCCCAGGAGAAAACACCCAGAGGCAGGATTCACTGAGCTGGTTCCACAGGAATACAAATACAGGGTGGACAGAAAGGACAGTCTCTCCTACTAAAAATTTTAGATGCTCCATCCTCCCAGAGGCAGAGTGCAGTGACCAGGCACAGCAAGGGAGCAGAGAAGCAAGACAGCAAAATTCTCAGACCTCTTCAGAGAGAGTCAAAACTTAACCACCACATCCCTGAGCATCTTCTAAAATCTAGGTTCAACCAGGACACATTCTGCCAGTCACAGAGATGCTAAGCTCACACAGGACACTCTTCCCAACCCTAAAACACTCTACGTGAATCTTGCAACAGGCTTTACATATTTATATTTTCCGGCACTGAGCAACGTTTGCCCTACATTTCTTCTCTTTCACTGCGAACAAAGGCGTGCCCTCACTCTCCCTGTCCCCATGTGAAGGGTTTTCTGAAGCAGATGCTGCTGCTCAGTAGCATGAGGCCTTCAACTACCAGGTACCTCAGCGGGGTCGAGTCAGCCTTTTCTCCTCTGTCCCCAGGTCACTCAGGGCAGCTTCCACACTGCTGTCCTCCCAACAGCAGGCATGGCTGTCTGACTGTTTGCTTGTGCAGAAAGTTCAGAGCCTCAGCATAAACTTAGAAGGGTATTTTCCTGATGAATTAGCTTCTGAGCAAAATCCTCTCACCACAGCATGGAGTATTTGCTGCCCGTTGCTGAAGATGAAGATATGTACACTCCAGCAACGTGAGGAACGCAAAGTCCAACTCCTGAACCACCTGCTCTCTCCAAGTCCCATAACTCTGTAAAACTGACAGAAAACTCAACTCTCTGGAAATGCTGGAATACTCATTTGAAATCTCATTTTCTATTTTTCACACATGTAAGAAGCCCAGTGAGAAAGAACTTGGGGTAAATAAAATTCCTTCTAGGAGAGCAAAAAATGACAAATGAGAATTGGTGAAGCACTGTTTAACACTTTTATGAGGGTACTTTCTAGAACCATAGTATTTTAGTTCTCTTTTAACACGTATGCAATTTCAAGGCAATTCTTTTGGATTTCTTCAAATTACTGAAAATGTTTATTTTTCACTTCTTCAATTTGTATCTTACAGATTTCCTCCTGCCTATGACCAGTAGAAGCACAAAGGGTCACGCACTTTCTGTACCATCCAGTTAAGTAAATCCTTATTACTTGAATAACTCTCTGAAGAATAGCAGG